GTGTACATTTGAATATCCGAGCTGGGCCAACCTTTGCAGTCCTACTTTGGACTGTACCGCCGATTTACAATTACTAACGCGGCAGAGGCTGAGGAATGTGATACATGGGTCACTTGAAATTACAATGATAATCTCTTTAATCCTTTTTCCCCACCTAAATTAAAATTCATCAAAATCATGTTACATTACACTAATGTAAATTGAAATCATAACTCCCCTTGTTTAAGAGCTATTGAAGAGAATAGACAAGTTTTTATATATTTAGATATGTAACCGGATAGATTACGTTTACTTCTAGGTGAAGAGAATAGACAAGTATTTATATATTTAGATGTGTAACCGGATAGATTTGCTTTTACTTCTAGGTGAAGAGAATAGAGAAGTTTTTATATATTTAGATGTGTAACCGGATAGATTACGTTTACTTCTAGGTGAAGAGGTTCAAACTGGTAACTTGGAGGATAAAGGTTTACAGGTTCAGGACGGAGCCATTTGTCTCAGGTTTATAATATACAGGGTGTCCCACGAAACATGACAGTTGGTGTATAGTTTTGAATGTCTTCTGCAACTACTCTATGAATGACTTTTTGTAGATTGATTCGCCAAAAACATCTTTTATTCATATATATTTTAATTTGAAATCAATTTTACTATAATATTATTGCTATATCATATCTATTATTACAATCTTGGTATTAATCAGCTTTGCAAATTATGGAAGAAGGCATATTAAACTATTTACCAACTGACATGTTTCGCGGGACACCGTATACTAAATAAATGTTCAATTTTGTTAAATCTATAAATGGAATTTTAATATTTTTAGAAACCCTCCATTAATGTTCGTTCACAACCAACGAGGTTATACTTATACACGGTGTACTTAAAACTAAATCATGGATTTATCACTCATTTTTCAACAATCAGTTTTAAGAGTAGCATTGTGAATTGTGATTTCATTTTTTAAATATGGGGTTTACAGTTTCAGTAATTATGATGCCATCAATATAGATTAGTAAAGGCATATTACTTTTATTTTCCAATCATCTTTAGAATTATAGGGATAACCAAAAAACTCTGGAATAGGAAGACGACTTATATCATAAAGTTAAGACTTCAAATAGTCCATTGAATATGAGACACAGCAATTGTAAAGTATAAACATTACCCTTAATAAGTGAAATTTATAACTTGCTTAACATCAAAAATACACAAAATTGTTGCTGTAATGTCGTCTTCCTACATCTTGATTTTAAAGATAACAGCAGTTAAAAAAAATATAAAAAGAAAATATATAAAAATTATTAATAAAAAAAGAGCTCCGAGCGTTTGTAATCTTGCGAGGAATTCTTATTTAAAATTTATCTAATACAATGTTCAGGCTGAAAGGGAATTGTTATATACGAGGAAATAATTTCCACAACTGCAGTTTAGGAATTTATATCAATAAAATCAACTGTGATTCTACCTACAGTGGAAAAACAAGCAAATTAGTAATTGTCGTCTTCTATATTTCGTTCAAATATAATTGAAGCTACTGATTTTATAATTTTAGTTATTCCTCCCCATGGTCAAAGCTACCTTCAACCTCTGACTTGGTGCAATTATAAAGCCAGAGTTACTTCAGTTTATATCAGAGATACATCAGTTTATATCAGAGATANCAAATATAATTGAAGCTACTGATTTTATAATTTTAGTTATTCCTTCCCATGGTCAAAGCTACCTTCAACCTCTGACTTGGTGCAATTATAAAGCCAGAGTTACTTCAGTTTATATCAGAGATACATCAGTTTATATCAGAGATACATATGTTTATATCAGAGATACATCAGTTTATGTCATAGATACATATGTTTATATCAGAGATACATCAGTTTAATTATCAGATATACATCAGTTTATATCAGAGATACATCAGTTTATATAAGAGATAAATCAGTTTAATTATCAGAGATAAATCAGTTTATATCAGAGATACATCAGTTTATATCAGAGATACATCAGTTCAATTATCTTATATAATTATATAAAAGTCAACATGATTCAATGAAATCTTTGATAGTAAAAAACCTAGTTTTCCTGGCTCAGAACGGCGCAGAACCAACCATTTCTGAAAACAACATAGAGACTTGTCTCATAGGTTAGTATTTCTTATATCTGACAGCTCGATCATTATTTCTAAATTTGAAAAAATAGGTTATTAAAACATGTAGGTATCTTAAATCCAATTATATCTTCATGCCTATTGAAGTTTAAAACAAACAAATAGTTTAAATTGTACCAAACACAAAAAATGGCAAACACATGATTAAGTTTTTAAATTGCTGCTAAAGGGATATTTTTTTACTTATGTTTGACTGATTTTAGGTATTATAAGTGGTTCAGGCTCAGCTCCCAAGCTCACTAAGAATATTTTCCACTGCATGTTGATGAGTATTGGGATCTTCATCGCAAGGTCTAGGGGAACAGTCTCCAGGTAATAGACAAGGTCTAGGGGAATAGTGTCCGGGTATTAGGCAAGGTCTAGGGGAACAGTCTTCAGGTATTAGGCAAGGTCTAGGGGAACAGTCTCCAGGTATTAGGCAAGGTCTAAGGAAATAGAATGCAGGTATTGGACAAGGTCTAGGGGAATAGTATCCTGGTATCAGACAAGGTCTAGCAGAATAGTATCCTGGTATTAGACAAGGTCTAGCAGAATAGTATCCTGGTATTAGACAAGACAAGGTCTACGAGAATAGTATCCTGGTATTAATCAAGGTTTAGCAGAATATTATCCTGGTATTAGACAAGGTCTACGAGAATAGTATCCTGGTATTAGACAAGTTCTAGCAGAATAGTATCCTGGTATTAGACAAGGTCTACGAGAATAGCATCCTGATATTAGACAAGGTCTACGAGAATAGTATCCTGGTATTAGATAAGGTCTTGCAGAATAGTATCCAGGTATTAGACAAGGTCTAGCAGAATAGTATCCAGGTATTAGACAAGGTCTAGGGGAATATTATCCTGGTATTAGTTAAGGTCTAAGGGAATAATATCCAGGTATTAGACAAGGTCTTGGCGAACTGTATACAGGTACTAGACAAGGTCTAGCAGAATATAGTATCCAGGTATTAGTTAATCTAGGGGAATAATATCCAGGTATTAGACAAGGTCTACGAGAATAGTATCCTGGTATTAGATAAGGTCTTACAGAATAGTATCCAGGTATTAGACAAGGTCTTGGCGAACTGTATACAGGTATTAGACAAGGTCTAGGGGATTAGTATCCAGGTATTAGACAAGGTCTAGGGAAACAGAATCAAAATATTTTTTCTTAAAGAAACTGTACAGTGTACATTAAAGGTGATTGATTTGTGACTTTTTTAGAAATAAAGTCGCTGCGTTTTTACACAAAAATATTGTAATAAAAAAAATTCAAAATTGTCCATAGGGTTGCGTATTGACGATTTAATATTGGAGAAACGCAGTGGGCGGTTGGCTCAATCAATTCCAATATTGTTCACCCCTGGTGTACATGTATCTTTATCTTTTTCAGCAATGTGTTTCGATATGTGGCGAATGGTTTAGATATTTACCGAAGCTCTGCTCCAACAGTTTTTGAAAATACATTTACAAGCTTAGCATTTCCTGGCCTTGGTGGTTCCTTGGTCTATGATATTCATAAAGGAAGAAAAATGTTTTAAATTTAATTTTTGTTTAAACCCAAATGATTACCTGTAAGCGTAATTTCAAGTAACCTTCCATTTAATTAGATTCCCGATTTGAATCATTTGACTAATAAAGGATGGTATACATATTCTTATTGATCTACTGAAATTGATCCAACCCAGCTAACATAAAGACCGCTGGTGGTTATACTGCCTCGATATATGACGAGCTTCGCTGGAGTTGGGTGGAGCTCTGATCACAGCTGATTCAATGCCGGTCTTGGCGGTATACTAAAAGGATCACATCCAGATCTGTCGTATATATATATATAGATGAAAGCGTTCATGCGGCAGCGGACAAATGAACTCCAACATCTTCAATACGACATCCGTGCTTTGGAGTATCTACAGCGTTTATATATTTTAGAAATATCAATTTATAGTCCTTTTATCTAGAAGTGGCAAAAAATAAAAATCTACTCTTGAATGGTTAAAAACACTTTTTAACGTAAATAACTCTATATTTTCTAGGATATTCATAGGGTCAAACAACCTAGGGTCAAACGACCTAGGGTCAAACGACCTCAGGTCAAACAACCTAGGTTCAAGCAACCTAGGGTCAAACGACAAACGGTGAAAAACACGAAAAAGGGTGAAACAACAAAGGATAAAACGACATAGGGTAAGTGCAACAAACGGGCAAAATTTCATTTTGACTATATTTAGTTAATTGGAACTTTTTTATGTTCATTAGAACTAGTAGTCGCAGCGCTTGGCCCCCTAGTCTGTCCTAGCTGCCCAGAAATTGTCTTAACCTGACCTAACCCTGAAAGAATACATAAACCATATTTTTTCTCCATTGTTGCGTTTTTGACCATTTGTCATTTGACCCTATGTCTTTTGACCCTATGGTCGTTTTAACCCTATATCGATTGACTGGGTAGTTTGACCCTAAGTCCGTTGACCCTATATCGGTGAACCTTTTCCAGGGATGCAATTTTCAAGAGTTTTACACACACAATGATCAGTCGAAGGTTTAAAGGGTAACAATGAAGATAAAGCATTACCCTTTTAACAGTTGGGTTACTTGAAGTTATGCTAGTCGCTTAAAATATATTTTTTCTCTTAAATATTGTGACAACTAAACATTTATTCTTCGAAGTTAAAAGCGGAAAAGTGGAAGATATGGAAAGTTCTGACATAATAACCTTCAATTCTAAATCCAGTCAATCAGAAACGAATGCCTTAGTGCAAAACCGGTTTTGTACAATGGAGCGAACACGTGTCTGCTCAAACTGTCGACTGCAGCGCCTCTGTGTGGTGAAATGTGGAACTTGTGAACAAATTTACTATTGTAGTGAGGCATGTCAGGAGCATGATAGAAAACGACATTCTAACTTTTGTTCTCTGTCTTTGAAAGATATGTTGTGAGAGTACTTAAGAAATTTAATGTTTGTAATCTTTTATATGTGTTAATGTATCAGAGGCGTATTCAGATATTTGTCCAATTGGGGGCTTACATTTTTTCTTTCTAGGAGGGGGTGGGCTCATGGCACCTGTTGGGGCCTGAAACCCCCAAAACTATGCCTCTGAAATGTATTTGTATATTATTTATATATAATATATATGTTTCCTAATAATTCCAAAATAAAAAAAATATTGTTTTAAAACCGACCATGATTTCTTACAATGACGACATATTCTTGATTTTTATAACGCAAAGTATATCTATCCGAAAATATCGTCAATATGCATTACCATTATTTTCTTATATTTTTAGAATGCCACTAGAAAAATGTTAAATAACATATTTTTAGATAATCAAATGTTCTTTACATAACATCAGAATTATTTTACGTTTTGTCCATTTTGATTTTTATTATTTATTTTAGCAATTACCATACCAAACACAGTGTATATATATATATACACTAGACCCGCCATTATGGAATAGTAACGATTAGGAATGAATCCTTTTAAAGTTTTATGAAAAACGATCCTTTCGTTTTCAAATCGAGGAAAAAAAGAAAAACGAAAAGTTCGTTTTTTAAATGATTGTGTTTTTAAATTAAGAAGTCGTTTTTTTAGTGTTAGTTTTTCATTTTGTTAGCAAAGGTGGGTTGTTTTTATTTTTTTGACTTTCCTCAACGATCGTAAATAAAGTGGGAAGATGTGGGTTGTTTTTATTTTTTTGACTTTCCTCAACGATCATTTACGACGACCCTTTCTTAACAACCAATTACTTGGTTATTGACTTTTTACAGACAAAATACATTCTGGAAACAGATAGATCAGAAAGCACTCAGGTTATATCTCTCGATTTAAAAAAAAACATTCTCTGAAACAAATTGAAATTGTCAAAAAAACTCAAAAAAAAAAAATTCAAAAAAGTTCATTCGTTGTGACCCATCATTTTTTTCTCAAAACGATTCAATCGTTTTTAGAAAAAAAAACTAAACAAAAAAAACGTTTTTTCGACCCTTTTTAAAACGATCAAACAAACGTATGATTACACTAGAGCAAGGGGTACAGAGTAAATAGGTATACAATAAACTCAGTGTAATCTTCACAATCCCCATATCCTCTAATTTCTTTTGTAGTTTATTCTCTAATGAACTTTTCTAGCTTTATATCTCATTACCAACCTGGTATTGATGCATGGACCAATCAATTTACTCTATAATTAGCTGAGATTGGAACCTGCTGGTAATCCTATTCTTACAAAGTAAAACAGTCATAGATAAATAACAATACAGATAGACCACTAGATACCGTCTTTTCACGATTTTTTTTCTATTTTTCGTTTTTCGTTCACCATAACCCAAAGGAGTTACGCGGATGCTCTCTCTCTGCTATGTAATTCAGCGCTTCCTTGCGAAACTCCTTTGGGCTTAATTGCCTCAGGATTAAATTGTGAACGAAAAACCCTTAAATCTAGAAAAGACAACATCTACTTTTCTAGCTGTATTGTTAATAATCTATGGTAATAGTCCTCTAAATTTAAAATTCAGTGATGGTGATGGACCAAACCTCTGTAGAGTAAAAAAGTAGATGTTAGTTCCACATTTATTGAAAATATATTTCGGTCTGGGTTGACCCTCGTCAGTTCTAACNTTGAGATTTTCGCGAAATTCGTCACAATTTTCGACCTCTCCTGTAAAATCTTTTTTTTTCGTAAAAAAAAACAATCTTCTTGTTGTGACATGGAAAATTTTTGATTTTTATCGAATGAAAATTGAACGAAAATTACACGAAAATGAAAATTTTTTGCGAAAATGAGATCGAAAACTTTCTCAAAAATACATCGAAATTCGTGAAAATTTTGAACGAAATTGAACGAATTTCGTTCCTTCATTTTCGCGAATTTCGTTCAACGAAAATTTGGATGGAAACCCATTCATCATATTAAAAGTCACGCTATTTCTAAAGTTTTCATTAACTCTTATATCAGAGAGTCTCGGTGACGCTCTTTACATAAATCAAAAGAATTTTCTTCTAAAAATGATGAAGACGACCTCAAACACAGGTAAATTGATAAAAATCAATTATGTATGTTTTCAATCATAACTCCTTTAGCTTTAGATCTATTGAAAGCTCTTTTAAAATGTAGCCAGATAAACTTTCTTATTTCATGCTTGTGCGCAAAATCCAAACTAGAGGAGCTACAGTGAAACCCTTAATAACGAATACATCGGAAGAATTTATCAAATGTCGTCTTGGCAATTTTTCAACGAGTTTTATACTATATTTCGTAAATTTTAGAAAATAAATAAATATCCATGACTATGCGGGAACAGTTTTATAGAGTTCCATATAATCATTTAATTAAAAACCTAAATATCTGCAATATTCCATTATCAGAAAGTAAAGAATACGACATTTGATGAATTCTTTCGATGTATTCGTTATTAAGGGTTTCACTGTATGATGTCACAAAATCGTACAAGTAATGCCGCATGAAGTTGACCTTCTGTCTAGTTCAGTGCGAGGCTTTGGTTTCGAAAATGAAAGGTCACTTAATTAATTACATCATGATATTGAATTATTACTATATGGATATTAATTGATAAATAGTTACATATTGAAAGAGAAGATAAGAAAGCTAGATGCTGAGAGGAATATTTGAGAGAATATATATGAGTGAGAGGGATAAATTTCTTCAGTTCAGAACAATATCTCTGAACCAATGGAACCTGCTTTCTATTGTGGAGTTTCAAATATGTATTTATAAATATATTTTGCTTAATATTATTTATATTCAATAAACTTCAATGACCCACTTTCTTGTAACACCTCACAAGACCTTCGGGAAGGTTTGAGGCCGGTCACAATTTTAAGAATCGCATAAGACAAATTTCGATTTATTTACACTACGCGAAAAGTAGTCATTGTTATTATTAATTTTAAGCGCAACGCATAGTTTTGAAAAAAAATGCGACAACGCTGAATATGTTTCTATAAATTTGTTTACTTTGACCTTTTATCTTTTTCAAGAAAAAAAGAGTGTATGCCGAAATAACAAGGATGTGTTAGAATAACAAAATAGCAATTGGCCGTTAGACTAACAACATAACAAGGGGTTGTTAGATTAACAAAATAGCAAGTGGTTGGTAGATTAACAACATAACAAGGGGTTTGTAGATTAACAAAATAACGAGGGTGTGGTAGATTAACAAAATAGCAAGGGTGTGGTAGATTAACAAAAAAGCAAGGGTGTGTTAGATTTACAAAATAGCAAGTAGTTGGTAGATTAACAAAATATCAAGGGGTTGGTAGATTAACAAAATAGCAAGGAGTTGGTAGATTAACAAAATAGCAAGGGGTTGTTAGATTAACAAAATAGCAAGGGGTTGTTAGATTAACAAAATAACAAGGGGGTGTTAGATTAACAAAATAACTAACAAAATAACAAGGGGTATTAGATTAACAAAATAACAAGGGGTATTAGACTAACAAAATAGCAAGGGTGTGTGCTATCAACAAACAAAAAAACTGTCAATCGAATTATGCAAAGGATGCGACTTAGAGACGACTTTAAAACAATAAATCTAAAAGATATTTTGTCAAAATTCTGAAGACTTTATTATGGCTTTTACAGCACCTGATTTGATAGTTCGGTCCTGTGCCAGCAAGCTTTCCCTTTCGATCCCAATTTGACCATTTTTAAGATTGCTGAATCATAGACCAGGTTAATAGGAAAATATAATGCAGTATTTCATACTTTAAAATATAATATATTATTAATGGGGAAAATATATGAAGTATATATGAAACTAATTTCTTATGTAAACTAATAATGTAAACAAACAATAAAATTATTTTCTAAATGTTGAAACTTTTTTTATTTCTAGGAAATGTTTTTGATATTATTAAATCCCATTATTGTTGTTTTTATCGTTTGCAGTTTGCACTATCTAAGGTTGTAACTTTTAATTGCAAGGTGTAAAAAGAAAAGAGTAAATTTATAAAAGGAAATTATTTTTACTTTTTAAAACAAATTATACAGGCAAATTGTTGACAAGAGCCATATTATTTCTTTAAAAATAAAAACAAGAAACATTACGAAAAAATAAAACAAAATATACAATTACCTTAAACACCACCTAGAAATAAAATTTTTTTTGATGTGTACTTTTTATAAAAAAAGTGAATACATGAATAAAATGAAAAGCAAAATTTTGAGAAAATACTTCTCTAAATTGTGAGTTATCAGTATTTTCGTCACGTCACGTCACATCATGTCACGTCCCGTCACATCACGTCTGTATTAATGTACTCTACTCCATATAATTTGTGAACATTTACATGATTTGTAAACTTTGAACTCCCTTTCAGGCTGAAAGGGACTGAAAAAATTAATACCGAGAGATTCTTTAAATTCCCCTCTAATATATATTCTATTCTCTATGGCTCTAATCAAGCATGCCAAACTTTGCGTGAAAAATTTAAATCTTATTATTTTTAAACTTCTTTTATTGAAGAGCTATTAGGAACGATAAAAATGTTCTGAATTTATTATATAATATAGCCGGATATATTTGCTTTCCTCAAACTTCTACACTTAGCTGAGAAAAACCAAATCTAGAGAACCTAAAAGGTCATAAAGTTATACCAGTAAAAATTGTTACCTTCTCCTTCAGTCTAGTTTGCAGTGTGCAATATTTAGAAAAATGAAAAATATGTTCTTCGGAATTCTTGTGTCAGCCTGTATTTTATCCATTGTGACAGGTAAACGATACTAAGGACAATCTGGTTCATTTGAAGTACCAGACCGACTAGAGCAAGTTGTACAGTGTACACTGTACAAACAGACTTTAGACGGCAAAACGGAACAGTATACCAAATAAATTATTTCAATCTCACATAAATTTCACTAGAAGGTGATCATTCATTTGGCGTACTCCCCCGTTTTGCCTTTTATAGTCTGTATTTGTACTGTGCGGCATGCTCTGGCTAGTTGAAATTCGACCCGGTACATGAAATGAGCAGGAGTGGACATGAGTGATCTAGTGTAATGTAAGATGTTTAAATCTGTACAATATGTATTGTTGAATAATATAATAACAAGAATTAGAACTTTGTACAATTTATTTTTAGGACGAGAGTTCTACAATCCTACAGTTCAGGATAAACCACAGAGGTAAAATGTCAGATTAAAACTGGAACAAAC